TGAAGAGCAGAGACAACGACAAGGACCCGAGCGACGATCGATACCCGGGTCTATTCTACTTCGTGTCGACGCAAGCACCGGCTGGTCCAGAGAAGGATGAAGGCTTTGAGGAGCCAGCAGCTGTGGGGAAGGTGACCCTACACCCCCTGGACTATTGGGTGATTGATAGTGGCGCTACCTATAGCATGACACCTCGCCCGGACTTGCTCACCGAACTCGAGCCGTCACCGGTGAAGCATGTCACATCGGCTTTGGGGCAGCGAGCAGAGGTGAAAGGCATGGGGAAGGCCATGTTCAAGGGTGCTGATGGGAAGATGGTGGGCCTCAAGAACGTGCTTTGGGTGCCCAGCCTTGCTGCAAACCTGATTTCCGTGCGGCGGTTGGCAAAGGCCGGCATGGACACTAACTCGAAGGGAGCCAAGACCTACACCGCAAGGCTTGGTGATCGGGTTCTTTGGGACCTTCATGAGGACAGGGATGTCTACAATGAGATGTGGCAGACCCCAGTGGTCCCTGTGCCTAAGGAGAGGCAAGTGGCAGCAAGCGCCAGCACTAAAGGTGAAGCGGTTGGTAGCGGCGATTGCGCGGACGGACGCGCTAAGGAGAAGGAGTCCAAGAAGTGGAATCTTGGAGGGACCAGCAAGCTCAGTGATCATAACAAGTGTGGTGCAGCAGCCAAGGAGCAGCACAAGGGTGAGGAGAACCCTGAGGCAGTAGCGGAGGAGGAGTACGGAGAGAGCATGTGGGGCGCTATTGCGAGCGCAGCATTCTCCAATCCGACTTCGGCTACGGGGGAGTGTGATTGGCTTACCTTGCATCGGCGAATGGGGCATGTGGCCCTGCCTATCTTGCAGCAGCTAGTGAAGAATGAGATGGTTGCTGGCATACGTGTGAAGGGGGAGCCTGATGAGGTGCTTGGCTGCCCGACGTGCATGCAAGCCAAGTTCACCCGGTTTCCGTTCCCTAGTTCGGAGGCAACGGCAAAGGCACCGCTTGATGAGGTGGTGATGGACGTGGTGGGCCCCCTGAAGCTTGGAGCTGCTGGAGCTGAGTATTTTCTCACCATTGTCGACGTCTACACCCGCATGACTTGGGTGTATGTGCTGGCCAAGAAGAGCGACGTGGCTGAAACGTTGAAGACGGATTGGTTCCCGATGGTGGAGCGGCAACAAGATCGTCTAGTCAAGTCAATCCGCACCGATCGAGGGGGAGAGTTCCTGAGCAAGGAGTTTGGGTTGTGGCTGAAGAAGAATGGTATTTGGCACTCCCTCACCATGCCATACTCCCCTGCAATGAATGGCATCGCCGAGCCAGCGAACCGCACAATCACGGAGGCGGCGCGCGGGTTGCTCATTGAAGCTGGGCTACCCAACTATTTCTGGCCTGATGCGGTGCGGAGCGCGTGTGTGGCCAAGAACAGAGCCTTGACTCATGTGGGAGCAGACAAATGGGTGCCCTATGTGGAGTGGCTAGGAAGGAAGCCAAAAGTGGATATGCTTCGGGTGTTCGGGTGCATGTGCATGGCGCTCGTGCCTAAGCATCTTCGGCACAACAAGCTTGGTGCCAAGGCTGTGTGGGCCCTGCACTTGGGCATGGCTCAAAACAGCAAGGGATGGCTTCTTTAGGACCCATTCACCAAGAAGTTCTTGGTGAGCAGGGACTGCAAGTTCATGGAGTACTTCATGTACAAGGATTGGAAGGCGGAGAATGAGGCGAAGATAGGCGTGCGGTTTGGGGAGGTGAAGAGTTCCGGCTTGGAGCATGTGGAGCTGCCTTTGGAGCTGAGCAGTGGCAGCACTACCACAAGGCAATCTTCCCTTATGAATGGGGGAGAGGAGGCCAATGATGCAGAGGAAGAAGAGGAGGAGGTGCAGCAAGTGAGCGAGCGTGCACCGTCACTCCCTTCCCGTACCACGAGTGCTCCACGGATTCGAGCCACACCGCAGCAACGCCAAGGCCTTCAAGTACCTGCAGCTGAGGAGGAAGGAAGGGGGAAGAGGAGAGTTCAACCCCCCTAATAGGCTGACCTATGATGCACTTGGAAAGCAAGGCAAGACAGCCCTGGCCGGAGCAGCAATGATGGTCGGAGACGACGAGGAGAGTGAATACGAGGAGTGTGCCTTCGCGTTCTTCTCTCCGGTGTAGATGCCAGGAGAACCAGCAACTCTCAAGGAGGCTTTGGAGAGTAGTGATGCTGAGGAGTGGAAGAAGGCCATGGAGAGTGAGCTGAAGAGCATCGAGGAGAATGACACGTTTGAATTGGTGGAGCTACCGGAGGGGCGTACGGCGATAACGTCCAAGTGGCTCTTCAAAATCAAGTCGGATGCCGACGGCAAGATCGAGCGTTACAAGTCTAGGCTTGTAGCCAAGGGGTACCAGCAGAAAGAGAAGGTGGACTTCAAGGAGCTGTTTGCCCCTGTGGTGAAGCCGACGACGCTGCGAACCCTATTCGCGGGAGCCGCCCTCAAAGGATGGGTGGTGAAGCAAATGGACATTGTGACGGCATTCCTTAACGGCATCCTTGAGGAGGAGATTTTTATGGCGCAGCCAGAGGGGTTTGATGATGGTAGTGGCAGAGTGTGGAAGCTGAAGAAGGCCCTCTATGGGCTGAAGCAGGCCCCTAGGCAATGGTACATGAAGCTGCGCGAAGTGTTGGAGGAGATCGGCTTCACTCCCTCAACGGCCGATCACTCCTTGTTCATGCTTGGCGAGGGGGAGCAGAGGAGCTTCATGGTGGTTTATGTGGATGAAATTCTCATATTCTCACCCTCCTCTGACCTTGTGAAGGAGGTGATGCTGAAGCTGCATGACAAGTTCAAGTGCAAGTCCCTTGGTGACGTGAACTTCTACCTTGGGCTCCACATCGAACGAGACGTGGAGAAGCGGAGCATGCGAGTGCACCAACGGAAGTACCTGGAGGCGTTGGCTGCCAACTTTGGCCAGAGTGAAGGTCATGTGGCTACTTTCTTTCCCTCTGGGTTCAAGTGTGTGAAGGGACCAGAGGAGGAGAGCGTTTGCGAAGAGGAGAGGCGCCGATTTCACTCGTTGGTGGGCAGCCTCATGTATGCGGCGGTAAACACCCGACCGGACGTCGCGTTTGCTACTGGGCATCTGGCTAGGGTTGTGCAATGCCCTAATGAGGAGCAGGTAGCAGCTGGAATGAGGGTGGCCAAGTATCTTGGCCAAACACCGACCGTTGGGCTGCAATACTCGGCGGCGGCACAAAGGCGCCAAAAGGGCGCGGATGGTGTTGAACCCGAGCGTTTGTACCTCACCGCCTACTCGGATGCTTCATATGCATCAGAACCAGAGGACATGACAAGTGTGAGAGGCTTCATATGCTGTGTTGGTGGAGGCCAACTGCTTGGGAGAGCAAGAAGCAGGTTGACCAAGCTTTGAGCTCGGTGGAGTCCGAGTACATGGCACTCTTCCGTGCCGTACGGGAGATTGTGTGGCAGCGGCGTTTGTTGGCTGAACTGGGGGAGGAGCAGCAAGGACCTACCCCACTGTATTGTGACAGCCAGGGTGCCATTTCTCTTGCTAAGAACCCTGTGTTGCATGGACTCACGAAGCACATGAGGGTGAAGTGGCATTGGACGAGGAGCATGGTAGCCGCGGGTGAAGTTGAGTTGCGCTACGTGAAGACCACGGGGCAGCCGGCTGACGTGATGACCAAGAGGCTGGTGGAGCAGCAGCATTGGAAGTGTTGCAAGTTGGCTGGGATGGCTCTGAACTGAGAGAGCAACATATCCTAAGGCCAACAATCCGAGGGGGAGTTTGTTGGTGCAACCCTATGGTTTGCACTTGACTTGTTGTTCGTGTGCATGCATGTGTGTGTATATGGAATGGTATGAGGGCATGGGATAATATATATTTCATGCTTATAATTGTGTGTGAATGTTGAGTCATGATGTCGAGTGTGTGTGTTGAGTCAATAGCGAGTTATCGCTAGACGCGTGTTACGCGGTCGTTTGTGTCTCGCGCGCGGTTTCTATTTTGTCGTGCGCGGTTTCTATTTTGTCATGTGTCGAACGTTCGGTGTGTCGCAGGTGTGTGCAGCAGACCCATCAAGAACTCAAGGATGAGTTTGTGATGAAGAGCCCGAGCCTTGGTGTCAAGCCTCAAGTGATTTCGAAGCTCGCCAAAAGGGTACACCTCAAGATATTGAAGATAGTTACATTACTTTGTGTAGTGTAACATTTCACTTGGTGTAGGCCCTAGTGAAGGGTAGTTTCGAGACCCTTCGTGGTTGGGGACAGTGTGGCACTGTTCTACATTACTGTAACTCGGCTCTTGGGGTCTGTAGGAGCTGGGAGTCATTCCCAACTCGTAACTCTTCCTAACTCTTTCTATCTTGTGTTCTAAGACTATAGTGGCTGCCATAGTGCCGTTCGTTCAAACCAACGCTGTGTCGTCAATACTTGGTCAAATCGTGCGATCTAAATTGCCTATTGTAGGCGACAATAAGACGCTACAGATCCAGGTTGAATCAAGTCATTTGAAGCTGTGACCAGAACGATATGAACGTTTGAAGCCGCTGTGCAGAAATCCGACTGTGCACTCTATATTTCGTTTTAGGCACATTGGAGCCTACTATGACTATAACAGTCTGGCCCCCTGAGGCCCCGTTTTGGCCCCACCTAGGCCCCGCTGCAGCCCCGTCTGGCCCCTTTACGGCCCCGTTTCGACCCCTCCACGGCCCCGTCACCACCTGCGGCCCCGCTGCCACCTTCGGAGCCGCCGTCACCCGCGGCGCCGCCGCCGGGCAGCACAGCAGCCAAGCCGCCCAGCAGCCGAGCCGCCCAGCAGCGGAGCCGCCCTGCCGCCGAGCCGCCCAGCAGCCGAGCCGCCCTGCAGCCGAGCTGCCCTACCATCGAGCCGCCCTGCATCCGAGCCGCCGAGCCGCCGAGCCGCCCTACTGTCTAGCAGCTGCTGTTCCTACCGGTGCTCCCCTCCTTTCTCGGACAAGTGAGCTCACTTCCTCCTAGGCCACTGCAGTCATGGCTGCCCCCAGTGTCCTCACTTTTGATGTTGAGGGACGTGCCGTTGACTTTGAGGTCTGGGTCGATGACCTTCAGCTGTTTCTTCAGTGCGATAGGGCGGACGGCCTCTCCCTGTTTGACCTCACTTCTCGTGACTCCCCTGCCCCTACTGCTGATGCTGACGCCACTGTTCGCTCACAGTGGGCCACGCGCGATGCTGCTGCCCGCCTTGCTGTGCGCCGCCACTTACCGACCACTGAGCATGCACACTTTAGCCAGTACAAGAGTGTTCAGACCTTGTACGACGCTGTAGTTGCACGCTACTCTTCCCCTGCCACTGCTGCACCGAGCCGCCTCATGCTACCGTACCTCTTCCCTGACCTTGCTTTGTTTCCCACAATCGCTGACCTCATTACGCACCTCCGCACTAGTGACACTCGCTACCACGCTGCGCTTCCTGCTGAGTTCTGCACCAAGAACCCCCCCCCCCCATGTACATCACCCTCTACTACATAGTCACCCGGCTCCCTGACTCTCTCCGCGTAGTCAGGGACCACTTCCTCTCAGTTTGCCCCACCACTCTCACCGTTGACCTCCTCGAGAAGGCCCTCCTAGCGATAGAGAAGAGCATAGTCGTAATAGGAGCCTCTCGTGGTGACCCTCGCACCCCTGTCTTTGAGGGGTGTTCTCCCTCCCCCCCCTTGCCCTCTGTTGCCTCTGCTGCTGCGGCCGACCTCGTTGGTTTTGAGTCGGTCGGCGCTGCGTCTGCCCCAGCGGGAGACGTCGCACCGGCAAGGGCAAGGGGGGCAAGGGCGCTGGAGGGGCTGGAGGGGGCAATGGAGGTGGTGGTGGAGGCACTGAAGGGAGTGGTGGTGGTGGTGGGAGTGGTGCGGGGGGTGACGGCGGCGGCAGCAGTAGTGGAGGCGGCGGAGGCGGTGGAGGTGGCGAAGGGAGCGGAGGCGGCGGAGGTAGTGGAGGAGGCGGAGGTGGAGGAGGCGGCGGAGGCGGTGGCGGTGGCGGCGTGCACCCAACACACAGCACGCCGGCCACCGCACCAGCCATGCAAGAGGGCATGGCACCTACTGCTGCACGTCGTTGTCGCCGTCGCCCACGTCGGCCAAGCGAACCTGGCCGATTGCGACGGAGCACCGGTTGAAGGCCGGATAGTGCAGCGCCTTCGTCAGGAAGTCGGCTAGCTGCTCAGCGAACAGGATGTACTGCAGCGAGAGCTTCCCGCGCTTCACCATGTGCTACAGCCAGGCCTGTCGCCGCTCCATGTGCTTGAGGTTGCCTGTCAACCCCATGCCCTCGGCGACCGTGATGGCCGACTTGTTGTCCACGCGCAGGATAGTCGCCTTCCCGGCGTCCAGCTGCCGGAACTCGGCGAGGAGGAAGCGAAGGCGACGTCCCTCCTTGCCAGCTTCATTGGCCGCCACGTACTCCGACTCGGTCAACGACAGCGTCGCACAGTTGATGCGCTGGCTCGACCAGGAGATTGCGGCCCCACCGTAGACGAACACGTAGCCACCCGTGCTCGTCCTGTTCTGCTTGTCACCGGCGTCGTCGGCGTCCACGTAGCCGACCAGCTCGAGCGACTCAGGCCCACCGCCGAACTCCAGGGCGGTGTCACGTGTGTTGGCGAGGTAGGCAAGGCAACGGTCGACCTCGCGCCAGTGCTGGCCGCTCCTCACCGTGAGGCCGCTCCCCAGCTTGCTGCAGTTAAAGGAGATGTCCGGCCTCGTCGTCGTCGCCGCGAACTGCAGCGAGCCGACCTTCTTCCGGTACTCTTCCTCCTGCTGTTCTTGCGCCTCCTCGTCGTCGAAGGTGAGCTCGGCGTAGGCGTCGACCGAGATTGGCGTCTTCGGGATGCGCCCGGTCTGCTCCTCGTCAATGAAACGCCTATGCAGCTTGTCGGCGTAGCCTTGCTGGTGCAGCCACAGCTTCCCCGCCGACCTGTCGCGCACGATCTCCAGCCCAAGGTACTTTTGCACAGGCAAGATCTCGCGCAGCTTGAAGGCGGCTTCCAGCAGCTCCTTCAGCTCTGTCAGCATCGCGGCGCTGCTGCTGGCGGTAAGCAGGTCGTCAACGTAGACCAGCACCCAGCAGGCCACTCCGTCCTTGCCGACCGTGAAGTAAAGAGCCTCGTTGACCTGGCTCTTCTTCCACCCGGCGCCGACCAGCACATCGTTGAGCGCCAAGTACCACAGCAGCGGCGACTGCTTCAGCCCATACAGGCTCTTTAGCAGCCTGCACACCCGGCCGGATCCGTCGTTGAAGTAGTCCGGCTGGTGCATGTACAGCACCCGGTCGAGCTTGCTCTGCAGGAAGGCGTTCTTCATGTCGAGCTGCATCAGGTTGAGGTTGACGACGGCGACGATGCTGAGGAAGATCCTCAGTGTGACGTAGCTGCCGACCGGCGTGAACGTCATGTCGTAGTCGGCACCGTACACCTGTGTGAAGCCCTTCACGACCAGCCTCGCCTTTTCTCGCTCGACGGTGTCGTCGATGTGGTACTTCGTCGTCAACACCCACCGGTTCTTCATGATGTTCACTCCCGGCGAGCGTTCGACCAATTCCCACGTTCCCATGTTAAGGAGGCTGCGAATCTCCTCCTCCATGGCGGCCTTCACTGCCGAGCCTTTCCAGCTCGCTAACGCCTCCTTCACTGTCATCGTCGAGATGTCCCAACGGTGCTCGGGGTCGGCTAGCATGTCGGGGTCGAGCTCTGGAAACTCCTCATCCTCCTCAGCGTCGTCACACAACAGGTCATCATCGTCGACGTCGTAAACCGTGGTGAAGGCAGCGGGGACGAAGAAGTTAGGCGGCCTCCGAAGTCGGCCTGAACGCCGTGGTACCGGCTGGACCTCCTCGGCGTCCCCTCCATCGTCGCCGTCGTCGCTGCCCTTGGCGACCTGCTGCTCCTCAGCTGGCGTCCCAGCCAACTGCTCCCCTGTGGTCGCCTCCCTTGACGACTGCCCGGTCGCCAACGGCTCCTTGGTGGGCGTCGCTGCTGCCTGCTCCCCTATCAGCTACTGTTCTGCAGGCGCCTCCTTTACCGGTTTCACCAAAGGCGTCTGCACCACCTGCTGCCTCCCAGTCGGTGTCAACTTCACTCCCATGCCGCCTTGCACAGCAGCACGTCGGCCACCGGCGATGCTTGGGACCGGCGCCACAGGTGTTGCACCACTTCTCCCCTCATCGCAGGAGGCCGACATCAAGGTCAGCCCATGTAAGTCGCCAACAAGGGGAGGGGCAGGTGGAGTGCAAGGAGCGGGGATTTCCTCGGCGTCCTCACCAGCAACATCACCGACCTTGGCAAGTAGAGGCGGTGTCGCCGTCAAAGTGTCCGTTGGCGGGGGAACCGGCATCCGCCCTGACGCCGGCCCGTGCGCTGACTTCCACACCTCCAACGACATGCTCTCGTAGAACACCACGTCCGACGTGGTGACAACCCGGTTGTCGGAGATGTCGAGGAGCTCCCAGCCCTTGCTCTCCTCCGACACGCCGAGGTGAAGGCCCCACCGGGCCTTCGGCTGCAGCTTGCCACCACGCTGCTGCTCGGGGGCTAAGAACTGCGCCATGCAGCCCCACACCCGCGCCAGCGACAAGTCGGGCTTTTTCCCGGTCAGCAGCTGGTACGGCGTCGTCCCCGGCGGCAGCGCCGACCTCTCAAGGCAGTTGCGAACCCAGACCGCTTGCCGGAGAGCGAGGTGCCACCAGTGGTGCTGCACGCCCATGTACAGCAGCATTGTCCGCACCGACTCCACCACCGTCCTCATCTCTCGCTCCGCCATGCCGTTCTGCTGCGGAGTGTATGGGCAGGTCAGGTCATGGACAATCCCCTTGCCGTTAACGAATTCGGTGAACTGCTTCCCGAGGAACTCCCCTCCCCGGCCAGAGCGCAGCATCAACACCGACTTCTTCGTCTGCTGCTCAGCCACCGCCAGCCACTGCACGAACACCGGCAACGCATCTGACTTCTTGACGACCGGCTTCACCCACTCGTAGCGGGTCTTGTGGTCCTTCAGCAGCAAGAAGTACAGGCTGCCATCCTTGGCAGCCACGCGGAATGGCCCGCACAGGTCGATGTGCACGACGGCTAGCACGTCGTCGGCGTCGGAGCCTTGGTCGGGGAAGGTGTGCCGCGCCAGCTTCCCGCCGACGCACGAGACACACGGTGAGTCGGCGCCCGTCGCCGACTTGAGGTCCAGCCCAATGGCGACCTCGTTCTTCGCCGAGTTCCTAATGGTGTCCATGCCGACGTGCGCAAGCCTTGCGTGCATCCTGTCTGGCGATGCCTTCGTCGCCGAGATGATCGCGCCCAGGGCCACTACCTAGGGGGTTAGTTGCAACCGATTTCACTGCCCAAGCGTGCTTGGCAGCAGGTTACCATGGATTTCGTCACGGGTTACCCTCGAACCCTACGGGTAACGACGCAATTATGGTCGCCGTTGACAGACTGACAAAAATGGCCCACTTCGCTACGTGTACGAAATCAATCTCGCTGAAGAAACCTCTCGTTTGTTCATCGCAGCTGTGTTTGACAGACAAGATACCAGCTGCGATAATCAGCGACCGTGACACAGAGTTCACCAGCAACTTCTTGGAAGAACCTCCGAGAGCAGTTCGAGAGAAGGCTACAGTTCAGATCGTCGTACCAACTCAAGACCGATGGTCAAACAAAGCGAACGAACCAGACCATGGAGCAGCTGATTCGTGCCACGTGCAACAACCCAACAGCAACGCCACATCAGCGACTGCGACTTGGGAGCAGCAGCTGCCACTGATCGAGTTCGCCCATAGCAACGCCACATCAGCGACGACGCAACAGTCCCCGTTTTACATGAACTACGGGCAACACCCAACAGTGCCCATAACGCTGAGTTCGGACAACCTCACGCCACGCACACAACAGTTCGCCGAGATACTGCAAGCTGCCCGAACATGAGCAGCAGAGGCAATAAAAAAAGGAAATGTCATCGCTAAGAGAAATGCTGACTTCCACCGCCGCCAAGTCACGTACCAGTCGGGAGATTACGTACTTCTTGACACACAGAATTTCAGACTACTCGTTGTACCAAAACTTCGACCACGCTACTGTGGACTGTTCCAAATCAGCCATATGATTACCCCAGCTACCGCCCATTTACTATTGCCGACAAACTAGTGCATCAGCCCATCGTTCCATGTCAGCCTGCTACGCCCATACATTCCGACCACAAGCCAAGGGCCACGACATCGCTCACCCTTGATGACTTGCTCTGCATCGGAGCCGACCGTCGAGCTCGAAAAGATTCTGAGCCATCAGATTCGCCACCCTACAAGTATCAAGAGGATCGAGTTCTTTGTTTGCTGGAAGGGCTACACTCCAGATGAAGATAGCTGGGTGCCCCTAACCAATATCGAAAACCACATTGCCCTGCAAGTGTACTGAGGAGCCGGGGTTTTCATGACATACACGCAGTCGCGTAGCGGAGGGGGCTTCTTGAGAGGGGGGGGAGAGGGGGTAGTGTAAGGATTTTTTCATCATTCCTTACCGCGACCTTCAACATTGCGTACAACAGCAGCCGTTGTTCGCCCGTTACTGCTAACGAGGCTTTGCCAACTTCGCTTGAACTGTTTTACCAAACCATGCACCGCTGGCCTGGCCGAGCCGGCCTACGCTTTGGGACTAGCTCGAACCTCGATGCACTAGCTAGCTCGCACGCACTAGCTAGCTCGCACGCACCGTGTAACCTTGCACGTTTTCGCACATAAGCAATCTCTCATACTTTGCACTCGTTTGAGAGCTATTGCAATCCTCGCTATCTCGTTCCATTGTACCCGTAACACCCACAAACCATCTAAATTTGTCAAGAGGGCTGAACTGTGAGATTTTGACCTTCGAGGTATCTGATGGTTCACACCTCTTGACATTTTTCGACGGGAAATTATACGGGTAGTCACAATTAGGCCCGATTTATCACATTTGGTCATGGGGGTATCACGAACAGTCACCGTACACCTCGTAACTATTGCGTGTTGTCATAGTGCTATCACGAATAGTCACACCTGTTAAGAGAGTAAGCAGAGTAAGGAGCCATAGCTAGGGTTTAGCTAGCTAGGCAAGAGAGAAAAGAACAAAAGAGGGTTTCACTAGCATCAGTTGGGATACATATAGCAAACCCTAACAGGGTTGTACTCACTATAGAGCACCCCACTACAGGCTAGATAATAACATTCTGACACACCCCCATAGCCAAAGTGGGGTGTAATCAGCAGAGCACATAGTCATAGAGCAGGTTCACAATGGCAAGCAAAGATAGAGGCTATCACAGAGGGCAAGTGAGGAGGAGGAGAGTACTGCGGACGGAGAGAAGATGGGAGGCAACAACTGAAGCTGCAGAGGCACGGGCACAGGAGCGGCTGACTCAGTGGCTACCGAAGCAAGGGCGACGGACTACTGGAGTGACTGGCTCCGCGGCTATAGACGAGCGGCAGGAGCAACGGACCCACTGGCGACCGGTGCAACAGGCTCACTGGCTACCGAAGCAAGGGCGACGGACTACAGGCCCTGCAGGCGACACGACAGCTACCTCCACACAACCTCCTCCAACTGACCCACACCCTTGATACACACCCCCTGCTGAACCCCTAACTCCACTCCCACGTCACCCCTCTAGCACCACTCCTTCGGCTCCCACACACCCACCCCCCTGAGCGGCAGCTACAGCAGTGGGAGACGGAGGAGGAGGAGCAGGGGACGGCGCACACAACCGGCACCCCCACATTCCCCACTCCCAAACCCTAAAACGGGTGGCACGGGGTAGGAGCGCGGGGGACGGCGCGCGGCCCCCAGGGCGCCACCACGGGGCAGCGAGGGGCCGCGCGCGGCTCCAGGGGTGGTGCGCAGCCCCCAGGGCGCCACCACGGGGCATCGA